ATAAAATGCCTGTTGCAAGCCAGCGACAAAAAAGTTAATAATTCTGGGAGGCTGTCCTGGCTTTACAACTGTGCCTAGTATCTTAGAGACTATAGAAGTGCGGTCTTCCGTGTTTGCCCTCTGAAAGCATTCTTCCTCATTGGTCTTCATCTGAACCACAGCAATGGAATCTGTAGCACCTAGGTACACCTACGTACCCATCACACCCCAAATATACACCTTTCTCAGGGGTGCTGCATATCAAGTCCTGTCTTCCTGGCTGCATTGTAAACCTTGAGGTTTATGTATCTCTCTTAGAGTTCTTAGCATAGAGTTGGCCAAGTGATAGATATAGATTGATAATAAGGATGATTTTTATCCTCTTTCTTATCTATTATAGTGAGGAGTCAAAGGGAAGAGTGACTGGTAATGTCATAAATTCATGAAGATTTTGCATATTAGTCTTGGCAGTGCTAGTGACTGATGTGTGAGGAGAAAAAGCTCAAGCCAGGAAGACATGCTCTGGTGCATCCACTTGGAGTTACCATACATAGGGCAGATATTATAACAACACCGATCTGGTCCCCACCTCTTGCAACAATGCTGCCAAAGAGAATTTCCTGTGATGATGGACATGTTTTACATCTGTACCATCCAATTTGACAGCCACGAGCTGCAGGCTGCTACTGAGCATCTGAGATGTGGCTAATATAACTAACAGCAGAACTGAAGTTTTAATTTTACCTAATGTTGTTTTTCAAATTTTTATTTGAGTGTCATTGAGAGGAGTACAACATAGTCAACAAGCCTATACATTAGGCTATGCCTACCACTACTATTATAGTGAGGAACCGGGTATCTTTTCCGGGATTCATGTACTGTAATTGAGAATCTGAGTACCTCTTTATCCCAAACCAGTATATCGCTCTTGTTGTCTGCATCATCATTGAAAGAAAAAGCCGATCTGGTAACTTCTTAAATTTTCACATGAAAAGGAATTTCTTTCCAGGACAGGCTGACAAGTTTTGGCAGCACTGTTCCGTTGCACAACTCCAAGGGGTGCCATTCACACCTTTTTCCTATGTCAACAGCACCCCCTTGAGCTGTGCAACACAGAGCTCTGAGTGTCAGAACTGATTTAGTGATTCTTTCTTATGTATTTTACAATACCATGGTTGTTACTCTTTAGTTTGCTAGGTTTTGCCTATGGTAGGCATGTCAGCATGCCAGCATAGGTTAGGGTCTCTAGGCTGTGTGATTCTAGAACACTCTGTTCACAACTTCCTTGTTAGATGCTGCTAGTTGCCTACAGGACCCCAAATCATTGCACTAATGGAAGTATAATGTCATTTATATCAAGATGACTAACACTTTGTTGGGAGGAGGAGAAGAGGTTGTAGGCAATTATTCTCAATCCAAGACTGGCAAAAATAAGTTGATTCTAAAGAGTCTGTGAAGGTCCTTTCCCACCTTCCTTTGTCAGAGAGCAGAAGTTCAATGCCACTGACTCACACCTAAGTGGCTCAGCCCTTTGTCTCATGCCCCCCAGCTGGGCTTGCCTGATGAGTAGAAAGCAACTTGAAAAGTGATTTAATGAGCTTTAAGAAATCCACCTGCCTTAAAATCTTTTCCATTAGTCAGTCCCTAACACTTGAAATGAATTAGTAGACATTTTTTCTTTTTTGTCAAGTAATATTTCCTATAAAGAATTAAAGGCAGGCTTAAAATTAATTTATTAGTGTTAGAAATCAGAATAATGGTTATCCTTGGGTGGGGATGGTATTGACTGGGAGGGAAATAGGGAGTTTCTCAGCCGCTGGGAATATTGTTTCTCCATTTAGCTGTTCCATCTAGGAAAGATTTATGGGACTTTACAGTTATGATTTGTATATCTTTTTATATGTTTATAAATCTTCAAAATAAAGTTTATTTAAAACAATTCTTAGAAGATAGCCTCAAAAAAAAAAAAAAAGAAGAAGATAGCCTCAGGAAGCATTCACAGGTATTTATAACTTAGTTAAAACAAGAATGTGAGGTGTACCCTGGTGGCTCATTTGGTTAAGCATCTGCTTATAGCTCATGTTATGATCCCAGGTCCTGGGACCGAGTCCCACATCAGGCTCCCTGCACAGGGGATAACCTACTTCTCCCCCCCCCCCCATCCCCACTCATGCTTTCTCTCTCTGCTTCTCAAATAAATGAATTCGATCTTTAAAAAATGAACACAAAACAAACAAGGACGTGAGTTTATTTCCAACAGGGAGTTAACAGTGTGCTCAGACTACTGGATACTGAGGGAAAGAGTAGATGACAATGGAGAGAAGGGCAGATTTGTCTTTGAGCTTCTACCTGGGGTTCATTCTGCCCTGGTTCTTCTGAGAACAGAGTGCAAGCCCCCAGTGAAATGGATACCTTTTTTCAAGTCCATTCGCATTCTTCAAAGATCTAAGAAAGGTGAGCAGGTTATGGAGAAGATTGTAATGAAGAGTGCCTCTTCCAGAACTGGTAGTAGGGCAGTTAGCCTCAGGAAAGCATGGAGCCAGTCCTTTGTTTGGAAAGCAAACCATATATGAGTTCTTTCGGCATGACCTGGCTCTGGTTAGGTGAGGAGAGACCAATAAACCATTGCCACCTGGATACTCTTGTATAAAGCCCTGTGTCTATATACTGGTGGAGAGAAGAGGGCGGAGCTCTGCTACGAAATCTTCCCACCTCGTTCTCCTCCAGACCAGTAGGTGTCTCTTCCTCATTGGTCTTCATCTGAAGATCCCCTCTCCTTCTGTGTGACACACATGTGGGGTCCATGCATGTGAGCAGGTGTTCTGCTTCCCTTCCAGCTGGTGAGTCAGCCAGCCCTCCTAGTTGTCACCATCCAGCTTCTGAGAAATATTTAGGCTGAGTAGGTGATTTCCAGGTGCAGGGCTGGCCTCGTGGAGGAATGAGATGAAAGTAAACCTTTAGGAAAATGCTTGTTTGGCTTTCAGTCATTCTCATTCATGTTGCTCATAAATAGTTATTATGTTCTCAGCTGGAGCCCCATCTGTTTCTTCTGTACCACCTGGGTCCAGAATTTGAGGCTAAAGAAATACCAATAAATCATTCTTGTTGGCAAATGTTTTTTTCTTCAAGGACATCAGTATTAGGTTGATAGCAGTTGCACAAAGGGACCCCACACCAGCCTTCCCTGAGGAGTCTTTGAGTCCTCCTTTTTTTCTGTCAACAAATGAGTTCCATCAGCAACAGGCTTACATTCTCACGTCTGTGCTCTTTGTCTCAGAGTAGAAATGGAACCAAATCTTAGCACTGCACAAGTCTGTTTGCAGCTATCTATTACAATCTGGGTCTTGTCAGTTCTTTATGTCGCATGGGATTTCTCAGAGAAAGCATTACCAACCTGCATTTGTAAAGTACTTTGCATGGCACTTTTATAAGCCTTGACTCATTTGATTCTTCTAACAGCCCTATGAATTAGTAGGTTTTACCCCCATTTAACAGGTGGGGTGACCTATTAAAAATCACACAGCTGTTGTTATGACTGCCAGTAAAGTGTGCCTTTTTTTTTCCTATTCCCCTTGTTATTAAAGACATTTCAAAGTCAGTGATGAAAACAGGAAGCCATTTGTGAGATTTATGTTATCCAGTTATGTTACTGGTCCAGGGAAGCAAACATTTTGGAAAGACATCCAAGTCACGGACTGTCCACAGACAGCAGCCTCTTTTCATGAGCCCCTCTTGTCTTTTCGAGTATGGGGGCTGCTCAGCTAGTCTTCAGACTCATCTGCAGAGCAGGGCAGCTGTGGCTTGCTGAGGGATGGTGAGGGGGCTTGAACTCAGAAGCCTTCATGGTTTCCCTAAGCCCTCCAGTGTTTCCAGGCTTACTCTTGCAAAACTTACTATCCACTGATCAGCTATATTGATCCTAATACAACGAAATGACATAAAATCTGGAAAGAGACCAGTGATAGATGAGACTATGAGCCAGGCCCTTTTCTAAGAGCTTTGCACATATTAATTCATTTGGCCTTCATAACAATCCTTGGTTATCCCCATTTTTCACTTGACAAAGCTGAAACTGAGCAAGTCACTTGCCCAAGGTCACAGTGCTACTAAGTGGAGGAGCTGGGATTGAATCCAGTTGAATTCCAGAGGCTGAGCTCCTTCCTGATCACCTCAGTATGGTGCCTTAGGCAGGTCTTCTAGGGCAAGTTCTTTTCTTTGTTAATATAAAATTCAGATCCTGAGCCTCAAGTCCAGCCTAGCAGATCATTGGCAAAGGAGTTTTCTAAACATCTCAAATGAGCACTAAGAAATTCTCCTGAAGAGAAAAGAGAGTTGTAGCATATACCACTTCTAGATCTGAGCTCCAGAAAGACTTATTCATTCTTGGGCTTTTTCCAGCTTATCACTGATTCCCATATCTGTGAGTGAGAGGGCTCCCCTCCCCTGGAAACTGACAGAGGACTTTGCACTGTGGATTCCTGGAAACTCAGTCTCAGATCAGGGACTCTGTGCTCTGTTTCTATTGTTTCCATGAGAGCATTGTGGCCAAAACACTTCAAGTCAAGCAGCTATGTGAACATATTGCTAGACTACCTCCATACAGGTTTTCCAAAAAATTATCAACGGAATATGGGGTTTAGGTATCAATTCCATAATAGGGCAACTGGGCAGCACTGGTTCCTAATTTAAGATTTATAGATAACCAGCAATGGTTTTAGGAGCTGGGAATGAACCTGCAACATTGCATGCCACATTTTGGATACATGTGTGTGGGTACATTTTTTTTATTGGAATCTCAAAGGGATCCATGACCCCAAAATATTGAATAACTGTGACTATAAAGACACCTCATTAACTTGTTCATGTGTAGCTTTTCTGTGAGATGAAATGGCAGACTTTGAAAGCACTGGTCTTACAGGTTTTCAGGTATCATCAGATCTATGTATTTTTCACTGTACTAATCTTCTTTGCATAGATATAGAATTGATTCAAATAGATCTTTGTATTATGTATATTTACAGACTGGGTTTTTCCATCTACCACATGGAGACTTCTTCATTGAGCCCATCAAAAAGCATCCAGTGGCTGAGGGAGAGTACCACCCACACATCATTTATAGGAGGCTGAGGCAGAGAGTTCCAGAACAGAAGGAACCAACATGTGGATTAAAGGGTATGGTGACTTAAATCTCCTCACTGCATTGAGGAGTCTGTTTTGTTCCATTATTGTTCTATTATAATGTGGGTAGTTCTTACTCAAATCTGTTATCTACCTCCCCCCCTCTGTTGCCACAAAGTGTATACCCTTGGGCTTAGGAATTATTAGGAATAATTTCACTTCTTCATACTTTAGTCTCTGTGTTCTTAATGGGAAGGGAAAGAGGCATTCTCCACATCCTTGCTACATTAATCAATGATACTCAATTGATATTCATAACGGTGAATTGTTTGTTTTTTAAACTTTATAAATCCCTAGAGGAAGATACTTTAAAGACAATTAGTGTTAGTATTAGCAAAGTTATAATACTTTAGTGTGCAAAATTACTGAACCGCTTGTCATATCTGCATATGGAAGGCAGATTTAAATGTATGATGATGCTGATAATGATGTGTGAAGAGAAACTGAAAGAAATATCCACACATTATCAGATGATGAAGTCAGCAAAGCGTCTTTTGGCTGCCTTTTGTTTGTAGTTCACTGACGTATGTTCCCTGCCTCTTGCTTGGGAGTGATCTGAACTGGTCCTCTCTACCTTGTACTAAACAGTTTCAGATAGTTTTCAGAGGTGAACTGACCCAAGTTGTTTCCTTGCAATTCCCATATTCTCTCTGATTTGTAGGAGATAATGATCTATGAATAAAAGGCCACTGGAAATTGGGACATTTTCTTAAATGTTGTATAGTTTATCCTTTCTTAAGAGAAAAAAATTAATGTTGGCAAATTGAACACCAATAAAAAATAAATTTATATAAAAAAAGAGAGAAAAAAAAATAAAGGGCCAGAGGGACAGTTAATGAAAGGAATCCTTAATATTATTTATATGTCCAAAGGATTTGGAAACTGTGGGCCTCTATGGGAAAATAGATAGATAGTGAAAGAATTAGGGCAGGCTGATGCTAATAAAGGTTTGAGAGGACTCAGAACTTGGCAAGCAGGAGACGGAGAGGACAAGGGGACAAGTAATTTCTCAATAGACTTCACCCAGACCCTGGGATAGATGGTAACTTTCCTTGAAGTTTATTCTATAATCTTAGCAGAGTATGTAAAGAATAAGAAATTTTGAGTCTATAATGTTTCCTGTATACAAAAATGGACAGCTGTTTGCATTCCTTAACTTTAGGAAGCTATTCCAACTTTGTTCTAAATCAGATAACCTACTGTCTAAATCTCCTAGCAGAAGCTAAGAGAAGGGAAGAGATTCTTCTTCTGGATGGTCCTATTGATTAAGTTACCAATCCAAATAACTTAGTTTCTATGTGAACTTTTATGGCTCTGATCTAATCACCCGAAGAATTTCCCAACTCCTATACACATTGGATGATAGGATAACACTTTGTATGTGTGATTCACTGTTTTTTAGATCACTGAGTCATCAGTATGGCAGGGGAAGTTATTAGGGCAGTGAGTGGACAGGGCCCAAGAATCACTTCTATAGCCACAGTTGTGCTGTGAAATGAGTTAGGCTATTCCTCATGCATCCACCGTGAACACCTTCTCTGTTGAGGTAGAGTTGATGAATAATGAACTGAGAATGGTACATATTTTGTCATAAAGACAGAAGGAATGGATAGGAAAGGAGTGAGGTTTACAAATGTCATGTCTCCATTTAGGTCACACATAATACCTCAGCTATAGTGCTTGTCATGCCATTTCATTATTCATTCTCTGCCAGCTGAAGACTTAACCAGTACTGGAAACTTCTCTGATTGATCCCACTTAGAATGATCTTGCATTGTGAATTTCTCCACACATATCTTCTAAAAGCTATTCTCTTAAGCTTGCTTAAAACCTTTCAGTGTCAGAATTGAATAGATAGTTCTGTTGGAAGGACCTTTAATTGTTTTCACCAAAGAAGTAATTGTGACTCAAAGAAAGGAGTGAACTTTCAAAACCATCAAGGTAGTAGATGCTCAGAATATAGCCAAGCTTAGAAGTCAAGGTTCTATTATACCCTGGGCTTTATATTCCCTCATGTTTATTCTTTATGTCTTCCTTGAATATATAAATCTTGTTTTATTCACTGTCTTGAAAGCTCTATTAGAGTAAGAATTCCTTTCCCAAACAGTATGTAGCATAGTGTAAGGTGCAAAGTAGAAATTTGGTAAATCACTGGAATGAAACGAAGAGTGCTCCATAGCCAAATAGATGAAACTAGAATATACTAGTCTCTCGTCTACATAACATTGATAGAAAAAAGAAATGTGTATTTTCTAGAAGTTGAGAAAGTATCAGTTGTTTGTGATCATCCTTTCCCTAGACAGCAAGCATGATTTAATGCCTAAATGATAGCTGGAGATTCAAGAGTAATCTGATGTGCTTGCAAATATTCTTTTTTTTTTTAAGATTTTATTTATTTATTTATTCCTGAGAGACACAGAGATAGGCAGAGACATAGACAGAGGGAGAAGTAGGCTCCGTGCAGGGACCCTGATGTGGGACTCGATCCCTAAACTGGGATCATGCCTTGAGCCAAAGGCAGATGCTCAACCGCTGAGCCACCCAGGCGTCCCGACTTGTGAATATTCTTAGAATATATTTGACATTTGGATTTTAAAAATCTTGGTATATTGAAACATACTTGGTCTTGCTAAACAAGGTAATTGCGGTGTTCTTATACCACGTTACCCTGCAGAGATGATGGAATTAACCTACAGTGGCCATGTCATTAGCCAACATTAAGGTACATTTTATACTTAGGTCAGTTGGTGTCTCAAGATTGAATTACTGTGATTATGTCAAGAAAGATCACCTTTACTTGTATAAAATGGTCTGTCTTTATAATGTTTAAAGTAGGAACACCTTTGGTATTGAAAAAAAAGATGTACTTTAAAAGTGCTCTAGTAGTTCAGAAAGGAAAATCTATCAATTACATTCCTCTAAAATGTGTACCTTTACTTAATGTTGATCTCCCACATTGAAAGGTGTCCAGGAGTTTCACAGTGGTCCAAAAGTTCATTTTATTACAGTCTTTAGAAGTTCATTTTATCTTAGGAAACACAGTTTCCTTTATCTGAAGTTTTGTTTTGTTTTTGTTTTTGTTTTGTTTTTGTCAACATATTCTGGGACTTAAAGTGACTAATTGATGGAGTATCAATGGAAACTATGGTTTTAGGAAGTTGGGGAAGGGGAATTAACACTAGTCCAATCAAATGCTAACTGCTACAGGGTCATCTATGGCAGAAAGGGGTTGAGGCAGATAAGATCAGAGTTTGGGATTTCATGCATAAGGACTTTAGGTTGGGAACATAGGGCGTGGTTCCTGGCATGTGTTTTTGTGTTCAAAATTTATTCATTTAACAAATATCTGTTTGGTATATTCTTTATGTCTGGTGCTCTCCTAGGTTCTGTGGGTTCATATGTGAATAGGATATAATTCTTGGTCCTCAGAGCTGACATCCTGGATATAGGACATGGGCAAGTAGGGATCTGGTCCTGGTTTTATCTTTATACTAAATGGTAAGACCATGAAGGAAAATGGAATCTTAATTCATGTATCAGGCATTTTGTCACTCTGCATTATGTTCTGTGCCAGGATATGTAGCTGTAATTCACTCATTTTCCCTGCTGTAACTGTATTCCATTATGTGCATCTTCCACTTATCCAGTCTCCCGTGAGTAGACATGAACTGCATCCAGTTTGGAGCTATTATATATTATGTCATAGAGGCTGTTCTTGAACATGTTTCTTAGGATTCGAGCCTGTAGGGTTATCAAAGATACATACCAAGTAGTGGAATGAATATCTCATGGGATATGTACACCTGACTTTACCGGATGACACAAACTTACTTTCCAAAGCTGATGTTCAAGTGTGGTGAGTGAGCGGTCCCATTGTTCCACATTCTGTCCAATACTTGCTATTCTCACTTTTAAATTTGGCTAGTCAGGGATATGAAGTGGTTTCTCTCTGTGCTTAATGTTGAACTTGAAGATATTTGTTATGAACTTGGGCCCCAAATCCATGGCTTGTGGCTATAGATTCCTCATGGATAGTTTTCTCCCCTGTACCCAGAGTTGATGCGCAGAGAACCAAATGTAGGTTTGCTTACTTGTTTCTTCTTTTTCTGGTTCATTTTTTCACTTAGGCTCTAATCTGACTTTTAAACTTGTCTTTTTTTTTTTTTTTTCCTCTAGAGCAAAATAGCAAGGAGCAGATATCCTGGTATAGCAGCTGGCTGTGTGCATCAATCAGCTTTCAGCCAGAGAACCAGTAGAAGATATATATTAGGAGATTTATTACAAGAAATTGGTTACCACTGTAGTGGGGGCTGGCTAAGCAAATCCCAGATCCAAGGGCAGGCCATCAGGAAAGGCAGGAAGGCTGCAAGTGTCAGGCATAGGCTGAAGCGGTGGTGTCCAAGGCAGGTCTCAGCTCGACTATTAAGGTCTTCCAGCTGATTAAGTCAGGCCTGCAGATTACCAAGAATAATTCTCTTTGACTTTACTAAAGTCAATGAGTAAAGGACTTTAATTTACATCTGTGAGACACCTTTCACAGCAACAGCCAGATTACTGTTTGTTTGGATACTGGGATCAGCACCTAGCCAAAGGGGACACATAGAAAGGATCATCACAGTCCATCTTTTGCTTTTCTTCCTGAATTTCTGCTTACTTGTATTTGTTTTACTGTTTTTGGCCTCTGAAGATTTCTTCCCTTTTTAAATGCTTATTAAGGACTTAATACTGGGAGAGGTTTTCAGCGTATCTAGACTACCATATTGCCAGAAATCCGTCTGAGTAGATTTCTTATGGAAGTCTTTTGGAAATTTTTGAGTTGCCTTTTATTTATTTATTTATTTATTTTTGTTGTTGTTTGAGTTGCCTTTTAAATGGCATGCACAGAAATTACTAAATGCTAACAAATGTTATAAATGTTATGATATTAACATTAGAATAATTAGCATATAAGATCACTAATTGATGTAGTGTGTGCCGGGGTGGGGGTGGGGGGA